TAATGAGGCACCTTTGATAAGGCACTGAAAAAATAAACAAATTTAAAGGCACATTCACATTGACAGGAGACACAACTAGGTACTATAATATATCTGTTAAATTACAAGCACTCATATGATTACTTTCAGACATTAGATATGTAAAGATACAAGTATATATATGTAAAGTTACAAGCGTGTCATTTTCAAGTTATTTATATAAAGGTCGATTCATTTAAGATATTTACATATATTCTAGGGTGTTGTCCCCCGAGAAAGCACTGGCATGGATCTGGACACTATTGGCAATGGGTTGTAGTATGAGGTAAACACCAAACACTAACTGCTACATCATTAGTGCTTTTTTTATTGATTTACCATTAATTTTCTTTCAGCTCACAAAAAATATATTTAAAGATGTAATGTCAACATTTACAAGAAATTGAATCTTGTTAACAGTGCACTAATGGCTATTGCTGCAACACCCTTAACATCCACCAAATAATAGAGTGGGAACAAGCTCAAGAGAAACGCCATCAAACCTAATAGGCACCTGCTACTGCATCTCCAACGTCCACCCAACAGCAAGAGTACATACAAACTGAGGAGGCTGCTCATCAGACCCAAGAAGCATTTCAGCCAGAAGCTGAGGTGGACAAAATACAAGGGGCACCTGAGCAACAACCTAAGGAGTTGGACAAAACTTATAGAGCATCTCAGCAACAAGCTAAGGAAGTGGACAAAACACCCAGAGAGCATCTCAGCAACTAGTTGAGGAGGTAGACAAAACCTAAGGGGCACTTTAGGAAGAAGAATAAGCTAAGGAAGACCCTGTCCAATATCCACCTCAAGAACTTGCTGTTGAAGTAGACAAAGAAGTTCCTCCTCGCCAAACAATAACGCATGCTAGGAGAAAACCATTGGCAGGCTTGTCTATAAAGTAAAAAAAATTCTGCCCTTAACCCACTATTTTCATATTGTGCCCACAAATCACAATCTAATGATGATAGGTATCTTAAAATTAATTTGCTAGTTCAAATTAATTTATATATTTATATGACAATATAATTCATATATATTGTATTTATATGATAGGATGCTTGTTAGTATCATTGGATTTCACCTATCAAAATCAGACCTGCACAGTCTCTTTTATAGACAGTGGGTGTCTAATATGGTATGTATTACTTAGTTTTGATTACATTATTTAATATTGAGTTGTATTGTTTAATGTTGCTTGCCCAAATTAGGTTGTCATATTTGCTGCAACACTATGAAATCATGAACAATTAAAAGCAAATGATGTTGCAGCTTGACATTTTTTAGCCCCTTACTTATGGTGAGAATTTTTATACTATATTTGTAGTTAGTAGTTTCAATATAATCTAATGACTGTATAACAAATTTTTTTCTCATGTAGGACAAAGTAATAGTACATTTCAAGGGGACCTCCAAAGACACCACTTTCATTCAGAGTATCTTCGATCACATTTTTGTAGAATATGACATCTTCAATTACACTTGGGTAAGTTTAATTATGGTTGTAATAATGTATGTTTATTTACAATCATATTACTATTTAGTTACTATTATATCTCTGAACAGTTACTAAAATTTTATAATTATTTTAGATTTTTACTCCTTGTCTCTACAAGGACTATTGGAGTTGTTATGTGCTGTTCCCCACTCAAAGAACACTATATGTGTTAAATTCCACAAAAATGAACAAAGCAAGCCCAAGGCATCAACTCAACCAGTTTACAACATTATGACATTGACAACATATTCATAAATTTCACTATACTATCTACTCCACCATCCAAATAATGTTTTTTTGCCTAGACGACGAAATTTCAAGAGCTCTTGCAAGAATCTGGCTGCAAATCTCCAGAAAAAGACCAAGTTAAGTTGGAATATGTTGATCTCCCTAAGTAATCAAAGGGGCAAGTATAGATTTAAATTAATTAAAACATATAATGTCTCCTATATTATTTATGTTTAATATGTAGATGTAGTTATGATTGTGGGGTGTATGTATTGAGATATATGCAGACTTGGGATAATATACCCATGATTAAATATATCCCTGTAAGTGACTCATGACAACAACACTACCATGATCATGTGTACAAGATAGTGTATTCAATTTTAACCTGATATGCTTTTACAGGCTATAATAAGAGAGTTCAGAAAATGATATATATGTGATTGGGTGACACACTTTAGAAATGAATACTGGGAGAAAGTACTGAAGGATGCTGGGGTATAGGCCACATTAGGTTGAGCTTTGCATTGCCTGTCACTGGAAAATAAGTGACTATAGCAGTTTCTAGTGCACATGCAAAATGAAGCACTTTGAATGTCTTACAATTTTTTTTAGTAGTTATTCAATTGACATAGATATAGGAAAACAATTGCTAATTATTGGTTAAACTTATACATTGTTTATAGATTCAGGAAAACATCTTTACAGATATTCTTTCTTGGCTATGATTATTGGTTATTGTACAGATTTATATTTCATACATCATTTTCAAGCTTACAATTAAATCTATTGAAAGAGTTATACTTCAAATTGAACAGAAATATGCTTGTAACTAATTGGATCTTTCCTTATAACTAAATAGAACTTAACCTGTAACTTAGCCAATTGATGACTATTAAATTGTCTTGGTGAAATAAATGATAATATATGATTATAACTGAATGGGGCTATGCATGTAAATGAGCAGATCTATGCTTATAATTAAATGAAACTCTTCTCTTAACCAAACTAGGGTCGACCAAAGTTCATTATTTTCAATAAACACAAATGATGCTTGTAAGTAAATGGAGATGTGATTGTAAATGAATGAGTCTCTATTTGTAACTGAATGAAACTCTACTTATAACCGAAACATTCATCGACATTGTGACTTAGGCTAAAATTGGTGAACAAGTCGTGTATTTTGCTTGTATTTAAATAGGGATATCCTTGTAACTAAACATAACTATGCTTGCAACTAAATGCATCCCTACTTGTAATTGAACAGAACACTGCTCTTGTAATCCTTTAGTTCTCTGCTTGTAACAAAACAGAGATGCTTACAACTTAACGAGTCTGTGTTTTTAATTTAACGGAACTCTGCTCGTAACCGAGCTAGTTGATGACTTGATTCAATAAACGGATGTGTGCTTATAACTGAATAGAGAGATGCTCGTAATTAAATGGTCCCTCTCTACTTGTTACTTGGGCTTAGACTTGGTGAACTAAATATTTAATTACAAAAAAAATTTATTACTGATCGATTTATAACTGACAAAAGTGGGTCATAAATTAGTGACCCTTTTTGTAACCGCTTGAGTTGGGTCACTAATTAGTGACCGTAGTAAATGATCATTTGCTCAAGTAGTAATCCCAATAGTAACCGTCTAAATGAGGGTCACTAATTAGTAACTCCTTTTGTAATTGCTAAAATCAAGGTCAGTAATTAATAACCCATTTCTAACTGCCAAAATAGGGGTTACTAATCAGTGACCAATTATAAAGCCCACGCCCAAATTAGTGACTTTCTTTGTGACTCATCAAGAGAGAGTCACTAATTAATGACCTATTTTATAACCGACTCAAATGTGATCATTAATTAATGACCCTTTAGTAACTAAAATAGTAGTGGTTACTAATTTTATGATTGATTTTTGACCAAAGTGACGGCGGTCACAAATCGATTATTATTTTTTTCTAAAAAAATTAGAGTGAATCGGTCATTAATAAGTCACTAATTAGTGAGCCATTCCCACAGTCACAAATTTGCTATCACTAACTATGTTTTTTCTGGTGGTGTTTGCAATGTGATATTATCTCATTCTCTCTTCTTCTTTTTTTTAATTCAAATTATTTTTCAACAAATAAAAATTTAATGAAATCCATAATAACAATATAAAAACATAAAATGATAAACTCTTTTTTTTTTTAAGAATTGCATCACAAGAGAGTTGTGTTGGAATTTTTTGGTCATTAGATTTCCTTTAATTGATTTTCTATTTTAAAAAGCTAGTTATATGGATGGTCTTATATCTCTTGAATGCGCTTAATATATATTAACTGATGCAATGAGTTGGGAATCACTTTTTATTTGGGCTTGGGTGTGATTTAATAAGTATGTTGAATTCTAGGTAACTAGAATTGTTGTAATAATCATAATAATCAGAGTAGGTTACTCCTTTATAAATATAGTATAATTCTCGTTCCACTCTATGCCTACTTCATACTGATTACTTTTTCATTGAAGTACCAATTGTACAAAGAGTAATTAGATTGAAAGGCCGTGCTCGTGCAGTATTTGATTACATATTCTTTGATTCGATTTAAGTTAACCAATAATAAATCATTTCAAAAAAGTATATATTTTTTTATCTACGAATTAATTAAATTCTGGTATAATCAATCTTTTAGATATTACAAGTCGTAACAAGTTGTATGAAATTATTAGCCCAATTGTAGGTTATCTTATTTATATGACAATGATATAGCGAGAACACAGAAACACATGCGATAAGTGTACAACGAATTTTCTTGTCTCGTCTTTGACCATAATTACATTCAAGTTTTACTGAAGACTCCATAAAAGGTCAAATCTTTTTAAGATGCAATGCATTCAATATGTTGAGCATACAGGGGACATGGACTCCAAGTACCCACCTTCAGCTAGAATGGTGGCAAGGCAAGCCCGATCCCGCCCTTTGCCACCCCTAAAATAGGCTTTTCAAACACGCTCAAACACGTGGCAATACGGTAAGGGTGTGAAATATGTCGCTAATGTTTGCAGTTGCACCTGATACACTTAGTTAAGTCCTTGTAGAAGTAGGAAAGCCAGTCAGGCATTTACCTAAATAGATCTGCTTAAGACTACAACAACCCTAGCTAGCCTTCGATGTCTATGCATAAGAACTAACTATCCTTTCCCGAACACCATAGGCGTTAGGGCAGAAACTTTAGGTATAGAAGGGACAAAATTTCAATTAATAAAAGAATGTAACTCTTATGTCAAGTCTTTGAGACTGAGACCAACCTTACTAGGCAACCCAAAATTTTGATAAGCTCTAATCTCGCCTCCTGAGCCTGCCGCCACGATTACCAAGCCCCATGCCGTTGCTTGGACATGTCCCAGGCTATTATTACTTTCGAAGAAGGACCAGGAGGAAGACCAAGATTGAGAAGGAGAGGTCCCAAAAGATGACAGAGAAGGTGAGTCACCACACTGAGTCGACGAACAGCTTGAGTCACCAACACCAATCTCAGAGTCCGTGCGGGATACTTGTTCAGGGTCTTCGTCCCGATAGCTAGCATTTTTCTCCAAGGTATCGTTTTTCTTTGGAAGCGGAGGCAACTGTCTGTTGCTATTTGTTCCCACCGAGCTATCGTCTGCGGTTAAAGATCCATTTGTAGAAGCTGGAGAGGAGCGTTTTGTGTTCTTTTTAGGGTGCAGTTCAACAACTGGAGATTCATATTTTAAGCTACCGGGCCATGGGATGGCAACAGAAACATCTTTGCAGGGAAAGTTTTCGTGACATTGGATGTTGACCAAACTTTTGCCTTTCCCCGCACCTGCATTCCGTGGTTCATCACGCTTCCATATGTACACTTGAGAGTCCTCACTTGCACACACGACATATCTTCCATCTGGGCTGAATGATGCTGCAATTTGGCTGTTGGTATTTCTGAAACCTGTTGCAAAAACATCATGTCTATGTTGTCTGACCAGCACTAGGAGTATACTAATTAATGTTTGTGGGAACTACCTCTAAACTTTTGAGTGATGTCTAAACCATCAATAATTCGAATCCCGGAATCGGCAGAAGTAACAAGCACCTCGGATGGGTTGCTTGGGGCGAACTGTCCATTGGAAAGTTAGGGCCCGTAACTGATTGATGGTAGTAATGATTTGTACCTTAAGGGACTCGAGATGTAATCAAGAGAAGAAAATAAAGGATTACCTGAAAGCCGGTAATCTTTTTGGCTTGTGACTTTTCTTGGTTTGAATCTCAATCTGATCCTTTTGCTCTAGGTTGCAATCTAAATCACCCAATAAAATGGAAATTCACAAATTATTCTCTGTATTACGTGAATAGGTGATGTTGAATCGCACATATTTGAAATTGATAGGACAGACATCAGAGAAAGAAATAATGAGAAGAAAAGCAAACTGTCTGGTGGAGAATCTCGTACCTGCTGTACTGTAAAATCGACAACTTCCTGTATGTGAACCAATCCAAGCACCCTTCAATCGGGGACAACACCAGGGGTTAAAATTAACAAAATCATGTTGCTTTTTTATGATTAAAAAACTTATTTTTATACCGAAGGATGTTGCCAATATTACATATCCTTTATTTCTTAGACTACTGCATTTTTAGTTGATACAACTTAATATCCTTGAGGGCATATGTGATAACATGAATGGAATAGAATAAGTTGTTAGGGGGAAAAAGTTAAAACGTGCAATGGATTAGCTAAAAGTCGCTGAAGAAGGATTAGAAAATAGAGTTTTAGAAAGGCAACGGAAGAGAATATATGAAATGTTTTAGTGGAGTGGGAGAATGAGAGTAGGTGGTTTGGTAATTGTCACACTCCCCTCTTTTCCCGTTATCCTGCTAGGGTGGGTGGGTTGCCCACCTTTAAAGTTCTCTTCTTTTATCCCTTTACTAAAACTCCTCACCGGTCATTTATTAAAACCTATGGAAATCTTTTGCTGCATAAACTCTCCTAGGCCTGTCCACGAGAGACATCGAACACCGGAAATGATTCACTGGGGAAGGACCTTATAAGTGGACGCATTATCAAACATAGAAAAGGGGAAGAAGCTTTATTGCACACAATTATTGCACAACAGAGAGTGCTTAGCAGCCATCACAGAGCTTATGAAGCAATTAGTACTAGAAAACTAGTGAATTATAGGAGTAGTTGACCAATTTTGGAATTTGTCTAAGTTGCATTTCTTTCACAAAACAAAGGTAGAAGTTAAATCGAGTAATCAGGTTAGAAAGAAACAACAGAAGTTCCAGTGTTTACCTGGCCATCCGGGTTATAACAAACAGCGGTAACCATTTCATGAAGGTCAGTATAATCTACAAGTTGCCTATTGGGAATACTCCAAATCCGGACTTTTTCATCCAGTGAGCCACTGATGAAATAATCATCGTCTACTGGGTTGAACTGTATACAAGTCACTGTGAAATCCGACATAAAACCGAAGCACAAGATTTGGTTAGAAAAATATATCACGTTATCTGATTGAGAAGTAATGGCATGGGAGGTGTTCTACCATAGTCATTATGTGCAAACATTTTTAGAGAGCTCTTGGTTTCCAGGTCCCACAGCCTTACTGTTTTGTCCATTGAAGCTGAAAGCAACATCTGCAAATATACATATAAAAAAAAAAAAAAAAAAAAATCATTACACCATATTGTATGTTAACTTGCTATATGGCAACATAAAGTTCCTGCATTAACATAAAATAATGGCAACTATGTAGTAATATATTTTATCAGGATACCACTATTCCACAGCAGGCAGTTGTAGAGACACAGTCTGTTCTAGCAGTATACAAGGCTTTATTCTCAAAATGGTTCCTTCTGATGCAACAGAAATGCTGAATTGACTATGGTGTATGAAAGGATGAAACTTGACATTGTTGTTTGGCCTAAAACTTAACTACTATTTGGATTCGTTTTTCTGTTCTTGTCTTCTGTTTTGAGTTTTCGTTTTATGCTTTTGGAAACAGAAACCGATGATCTTGAAAGCTCTATTATTTTGGTGTCTTTTATATTTCGAGATAAAATAATTTCAAATAATTTGGAGAATGAATTTTTGCTTTCTGAAAATAGTGCATATGTTCTGAAAACTCTCGAGGAAATAGCCATCAGAAAAAACCTGCCAAACTATTATTCTATTTCCAAAAAGAAAATAGTTTCCAAATATAAACTCTAATAGATAACTTCTTGGTAGGATTCCCTTGTATATTCATGTTTTCTACTAGCAGTCTTTTCTACTTTTATCGGTATCAGGTGTGGAAAGGAGCTGACCTGTGATTTTGACCATGAGAGGTCCAAGACATCATCCTGGTGACCTGTAAAAGAGCATATTGGTTTTTCTGAAAGCGAAAACACAGTTTCTGGCACCTTGACGAAGTTGGGAATCGAGTTGCCCTTCTTCTTGTTAGACGATTTCCCCTTTTTCTTCTTGTCTGTTGGCATTGGTGGAAGCTCTGCAAAGGAAGATTGTTCAGATAAATTTCCGGTCAAGGGGTGAAGTAGGGTGGAGCTGACAGAACTTGCATCATCCATTGGCTTCGCCGACAAAATTTCACATTCTTGGACTTCCCACACGTGAATAACCCGATCCTCTCCTGCACTTGCTAGGTAGTGGCCGTCTTGGCTGAATTTCATGGTCCAGATTGAGCCTTCGTGTGCCTGAATTTCTTGACATAAATACAAAGCACTGAATTCCTTGATGGATTTGCCTGTTTGGTGGACCTTGATCCACTTAGAAGACGGGTTCTTCTGGCTTTGCTGATCTACCATTGGTGGAGGCTGCTCTCTTTCTTTTTCGAGGATCAACCCGTTGGCCACGTCCTTTATGTTTTTCAGAAGGGAGACCCCCCTTTTCTTGCTGTATCTGAAGCTCTTGCTGAGGTAAGAATTTATGCTTTCTTTCTTTCCTTCGTCATTATTGGACACGTTTTCTCGACGCATCAGTTCTGTAACGACGGGGGAATGGCCAACAGACTTCTGGAACTCCTCCATTGTAAGCTGCTTCCCAGTCTGAACCTCGCTGAGCCTATTCCACATTCCATCATTGTTGAACTCCTTGACGATAAACTCCTTACCCGTGTCCAAATTTTTGATTAAAAAGAATGCACCAAACTGACTATCCGAAACTATAGATCCGAGCGTGCCACCATTAGATGCCGAAGATTTGTTTCTGGCCTGTTGTGGTGTATCGGTGTAATGGCATATGCCGGCATGTGGAGTTGACATCATCGACGACGTTCTTGTGAGGCGCTGTTTTGATACCGGACCTATGAGCTCTTCTTTTCTTCTTTTCGTGTCTGCAGAAAAACATTCGATGTCTCCATCTGATCTCGCCCGGACATGCAAAACTGGTATTAATGGCAAGGGTGTGGCCGAAGGCGCCGAAGACTCCTCCTGTTTCGATGCTTTGGGTTGAGATGATTCAATTGTTGGCGGTGCGGAAGGCTGTTGTTCGGTGGGAACTTTCTTAGAAACAACATGCGTGAGTTTGTTACTAACGAGGCTAATAAGTTTCTTGTTGCTATTTAACCCCATTCCCTGCAAGAGCTTCTTGCGGCGTTCAGTGATCGACCCGGGCGCCGCCATCCACATTCCGAAGTCACCGAACATGGACGGAGGGGCTCCAGCGCCACCCTCCAAGTCATGGAGGCCACTAATGGGGGCCACTGAAATGGCCGAAGCAGAAGACATCCGGCAGTCTTCAAAAAACTCATCATCGTCCCCCGCCAAGTCGAGGGCGACAGCGGAGGAAAGCCGATCATATGTCTCGAAGAAGCGGTCATCATCGTCATCGTCTTCTCCTAGACCGTCCCAGTTCAAGGTAATGGTCTTTTTTCGTTCCATGATCGGACTCTTCTTGTGATCCTGATCCATTGCTGAATCTTCCACCTGATTTTTGTCCATTTTCATACATTGTTTAAGAGAGTTCTCCAGTGAGATCAAATCTTCGTCAACCAGCTAGTTGAAACAATTTTCTGTGATCTGCGGTCATTGTTTCAGATTTAATCGATGGACAGGATTAAGTTGGGATGATGAAGGTAGAACTGTAGAATAGCTGCGATTAGTACTTTGTTGCTATTTTTTTCTTTCTTGCGCAGGAGAGAAAAATGGCCGGAAAGAGAGAGGGTGGCAGAGAGAAAAACAAGGGTGATGGCCGTTGTGATTTATTCGTTTGGCTAGAAAGAAACGGTCAAGGGGACGTCAAGATTTGTCAATTTTCTCTCCTCACGTCCACCCCCATCCATTTCCTGACTCTGAATAAATGTGTGCAAAACGTTTGTGTATTCTCCTCCAGACAAAAAAAAAAAAAAAGAAAACATTTGTCTCATCTCTCATCCATGAGTTTATTTCCTAGATTCTTCTAGTCATCTTGCCACTTGGATATTGGAAATATTGGGGCAAGTAGTTAGAGGTTCTCAGACCGTTTTTTTGCTAGACGTGGTGTCCATGTTGTGGATACCATGTGCAGCTTTTTGTCCAGCAAACGGAATTGCTGATTTAATCTTGTTTGTGGGAATCGCAAGTACATTCTTATTCCGGGGAATTGTAATCCCCTATTTACCTGTCAATCCACCCGAACCCAGGTGATATTTGATAAATCCAGTCATGTTTACATAGACATTTGTTGCAGGATTTATAAAATAGTTTCCATAATTTTTGGGTAAATAGGATTTTTCATTGAAATTTTCATTTAAGCATTTAATTTTCGTTGTTTAAGATAGAATTTTATTTGGAAAATTATGTTGTAATTTGTGCGTTTCAAAAGCTGAATTAAGTCTGGAAGCCATTTCTGAAAGTCAATTTTTGTTCTATACAATTGGAGAAGTTTGCAATGATTTGTTTCCAGCAAAGCCAAATAGATTTGCAGCCCAAATTCAGTTTAAATCAGTTTTTGGAAGTGCAAGTAACATTGAAGCATACGACAAGGTCAAAACCAGTGCATATATTGCAAGACTGGGGAGGAAACATTAAAGTGGTTGCCGACAAGGAAGCATCAGTAACCAGTTTAGATTTCAAAGAAAGATGAACCAACTGGTGTGGCTTTTCAGTGCAGAGAAGCAAACAGAGATTGAAGCTACTTCTGGCTTCTAATTTTCTAATTTTCTGATTTTGTGATTCTATTATTACTGCTGTAGTTGAGAGAAGATGATGCAGCCCAACACTTCAAGCCAAAACCAGAAGTGAATTTCAGCATAAGCTAAGCCACAACAACAGGTATGAAGAAGATCAAGCAAGATCCCAACAGAGCACAAATCTGAAGCTGATAGCAATTCAAACTTAGCATCCTCAAGCCAATAACCTCACATAAGCTACAGCTCCAGCAGAGAGCAAGGCAGAATAAAACCAAGAGATGACAGAATCAAAAGAAGCTAATGCTACAGAGCAAATGACAGAACAATAGATTCCCAAAGCCAATTAAGCACATACCAGAAGCTAATCAGCAGACCAGAGCCTGACAGTAAAAAGGCAACAGAAGAAGTGAACCTAAAGCTGACATGCAGAAGATTTGAAGATCATAATTTCAGAAGCCAGCAATTGAGCACAAGTTACAACAGCATCAAGAAGCTGCAGACGGAAAAGCTCCAGAGTAAAACCAGCAGAAGACAAAATGGAAAGATCTGCAGAAGTAATTCAACAGCATCACCTCCTGCAAAGCCAAGAGCAAACCCAAAATCTGCAGCCCAAGTGGAATTTAAGTGAAACCGAGAACTTCATCCCATGTCAAGAGAGTAGCTAAATATCAGTAAGCCCAAGTTTCGGAACAGTGCATGTGCAGAGAACCCAACTGAGAAGCATCAATCCATTGCAGCCCAAGGCAGATGCAACAGTCTAATCTAGCTCAGTCCAATTGCTAAAGCCCATGTCTAAACACCAGTGACCCACACCCGACTGAAGTTGTCGTGCGATAAGACGTCGTGGTAGAAAGCTGAGGGGGATTAGGTATTGGCGGTAGATTGGCGAGACTGTTGGAGTGAGCGAGGGAGAGAGCTGAAGAGAAGACACTGCGGAGAAGAATGTCTTGACATCAATTTAAAGTTTTTAGTAATAGGTCTTGGTAAAATTAATTTCATTCTTTCACTTGCACCAATTGAAACTGACACGCCGGAGTTTTTACTTTAAATAAAATGCCTAACAAAAATTAAAAAGATATTTCTTTGTAATGTTGAAAATATAGTCAGATAAATATATATTTTTTTTTTACAAAAATATCAAAAAGCTAACCATTCACAATTAAAAAATAATTAAAAACAACTTTGGGTGGGGAACGGTGCTTCAAGCAGACTATACAAAGCTGTAACTAACAATCCTTCAAAATGGGGGAGGAGGCATATAGGTAATAATCTTTCAAAACAGGTGGAGGGATTTTTTTTTTTATTTTAAATTTTTGGGGCGGGGGGTTACCATCAAGAGCAATGGAGGAGTCAATATGCTAGGGATAGTTGGGGTAGAGCTCGTTACAGATCCCTCCTAATTTCAACTTTCGCCATTGTAGAGCCTCTCCCTGTTTTGACTTTCACAATTGTAGAGTCCTTCTTTCAACTTTTGTCATTGCCTCTTCTTGTTTCACTGCTGTAGAGCTCATTGCAGTCTCTCATTATTTTCACAAAAGCAATTGTAGGTATAAAGACAATCACAAAAAGTCTCTGATCATTGACAAGCCCCTCTTATTAACACAATGGCAAAAAGACAGTTGCAAAAGGAGAATGATGTGTCAACAAGCAGGATTCAAAATGGCAGTTAGCAAATATTTGGCCTACAAAAGGGATGACCAATACAAAATAGAAGCACACTTCTTCTAAATAGAAATTAATCGATCACACAAGAAAAAAATAAACAGTATGTTAGGTACCATTTTGGTGTAAAAATTTGTACAATTTTATGTTTTGATCTTCAAAATTTAGTAATCATTCTAAGATAGTCTCTTAATATTATTTTTCTTTTATTTAAGTTTTTTTTTTTAATTGGCTTTCTCAATTCTAGATTTGTTTTAGTTTATCTATAAATTTTTAATTTATTCGTATAGGTCCTCCTAAAACTAAAAAATTAAGAAGACATTTTTATAGTAAATTTAGAATACAAACCCCGACTTATAAAATTTTGAAGGGTGCAATTGCTGCCGTGACACCAATGCAGCTCCACTAGTGATCAATTGTACACTATTGACCAAAAAATAAATAAATAAATAAGCAAACTAAGACTTGACATTTGTCAGAACATCAATCAAGGGTAGACCATGGATTGCTTACCTGTGGTGCATGTTTCTACTTTCATTAGAATAAGGACCTTTTTTGGCCAGTAAAGAAGGTGGGGAAGGCACCGAGTATGTGATACGGACCAATTGGCTTAAGCACTCAAGATTCACCTAAATTGTTCCTCCTTACAAAACTGAAGTTTTCTTCTATACTTTAGTAAGTCTTTCACGCCGCACCCTGTTTCTTCCCTCTCTCTCTTTACAAACTCAAAGCAGAGTGAAAGTGAAGTAAGGAAGCTGCTCAATAATTGCTTATTACTTCACAACTTTTAGATAATTACAAGAGCTGCTCTCCTTTTTGTTTATATAGTCAGCTTATCCCTCTAGCTTGCCTACACTATTTAATTTACCATGAACGCAAGTAGAATGGTCTTCGGCTTCCAAAGGAATTAAGCACCATGCATCTTCAAGCACAAAGTGTCTTTTTGGCTCAATGTAGCACCCCATCTTAACATATTTAAGTGCTTTTTCTAGTTTCAGGCCCTCAAATGAAGGAATTAGGAATTTGGGGTCATTTTAGTGAGAAGAGCAGAGGTGGGGGACCAAGGTGTAAAAAAAAGGAGAGGGGAAGCAAACCCTAGCCACGCCCTTAACCTTTTCCCTTTCTCTTTCCCTTTCTCTTTCCTTTCTCCTTCTTCTCTCCTCCCTCTTCCTCTTCTGCTACATGTTGACAAACACTGCTCATGCACCTCACATCCAGTGAGTTCCTCTTTCTATCTTCCTCCTTATCTTCTTTCACCTCTCCTTTCTCTTCCTCTTAAATGTAGGCTGTTTAAGGGTTGGATTGGCAAGGTGTGGCTGAGTCGCCATTGCATGAGTCACAAGCCTATTCTTTTTCCACCTTCGATTCCTTAGGACCTCAGACTAGCAACAGGACCATCTATTCTCTCTCTTGCCTTTTTCCTTTTCTCCTTCCTACCGACAATTTGACCCCCTTGTAGTGGAGTTGAGCCCCCCCTATTTTATAGCTGCTCATGCTACTTGACTGCAATGGCCTCTTCAAGCTTAATGCTTATTTTCTTGGACCAAGGTAAATACTCTTTCTCCCCTTATTCAATTCATTGAGCCGTATAGTTTCTGATTGAGGGATCTTCTACGCAGCAAGCCTGAGAATCGCCTCTCGGTTGGGTTTCGATGGCCATTTTAGCTGCTAGGGAAGAATTTCAGCCTTTCCTCTCTTTGTTGCTGCTAGTTGGGATGTAGGCTTCTGACTTTCAAATGACCTTTTGGTAAGAATCCATCTTTGTAAGTCATTTTGGAGTGATGTTAAAGAATGGGTACACCCTAGGCTTCAAATCCTTGTTCCTTCATATTTAGGAGAAAAGTTCAGATTCCTTTGGGGGGGGGGGGGGGGTGGGGCGCTGTGTTGTTATGATAGACACTAGGTAGTAGAGTTAGATTGGGGGCTTGCTAAGGAGTCACTACTAGAAAAGGGGCGATTACTGACGCAAAAAATGCGTCGGTAATATTGGATATTGTGTCAAAAACAACGGCACCAACGCAATAACTGACACAAAACATTTTGCTGGAAAAATAGTCGTTGAAACAAAATTATCGATGCAAAGTGCCTTGTGTCGGTAATTTTTTGACGCTAAGTAGCGTCACAAATTAAAAAAATATT